CTATAAGAAGGGCGCAAGGGGATTAGGACTTCGAGGAGCCCTCGAGCTCCTAACCTCCTTACACACATTGTCGAGCAAGCTCAAGAAATCCCTCACAATCACGAAAATCCTCAATGGGTTCGTCTCGTCTCTACTCACGTCCCCGTGAAAATACTCCGTAATCTCCCGAACGCGCGAAAAAACCCGAGCCTCGTCATCCCTCACTCCCCTCAACTCATCCTCCGCACGAATCAAGAATCGCCACATGGACCCCACAAACCCTTCTCCTCCACCCGTTTTCTTACAACCCTCCAAATTTCGAACGAGGTCACGAACCTGTTTCATGCCGTCCGTTAGATTCTCCACCGAGCTAGCCAAAACGTCCAAGTCAATAGTGGCCGTTTTCTTGGCGTTGCTTAGCTCGGCGCTTAGGCCCGATACAAGATCAAGGCCCATTAATTCTACGAAGCTTTCTTCTTCCTTGCATGGGCCCGTGAAGTGGATCTTGCCCATGATGCTTTCGGAAGCTCTTAACCCTTCGGACCGAACGATCTCACGGACCACAAAATGGAGAAGGGTCGTTTTTCCATCTTTGCCCTTGATGTCGGCTAGCTTGAGAAGGGCATCGAGCTTGAATGCCTTTGCGCCTCCTCTTATAGTGCCGACGTTCATTCTGTTCCCGGTTTTGAGCACGGCTTCTAGAAGCTTCAAGAAGAGCCGGCTCGACCTTAGCTCCTTGCACGCCTCCTTTGGGAAACAAACAATTTATTTTTTTTCGGGAAGAAAATATATTGCACATTTGTTAGTGTGTAAATATTGTGAGTAATTAAATTAAACCTCGAGCATGGAGAACGACTTTCGGAGATGGAGGATCTCGTCTTGAAAGGTTTCTCTATAGAGCATGGCCTCGATTCTCGAGAAGGCGAATGGTACTTCTAGCATTGCTTTAACTAACTTTTCCGCGGAGCCCAACTCGCTCATTTTTCCTTTGTGGTCCGTAAGCTTAGCTTCTTCTTCCTTGGTTGGAACCATTTTCGATAGCGCTTCTAAATCTTGCAACGACAAGCCATCACCTGTTG